CCTCTCCCTGCGGACACAGTCTAAGAAGAAGACGTGGACCCCATGCGATGACCAGTTCCTGCACCACATCGAGGACCATGGGCTAACTTTAAGTTAGTCATATGAAGCAAAAGAGGCTGTTTAGGTTTAGGTTTAGATTAGGTACTTAGGTTAGTTTAGATTTAGTAATACGATGTTATCTTAAGGTACACAGAGTGTTAGACACTCTAGCGATGTTAGCACTAAGAATCCGTAGATTAAGTAACAGTAAGAAGTTTGTAAACTTAGCTGAAATAAATATGTTCCAACAGAATTATTTAATTTTTACTAACAGTGTTTGCACAGGCACAATTTCTGTTACATTTCAAATTTGTACTCTAATCCCTAACTAATAATAAGGATCGAATGCAACCGGCAAAGAAACTTTCCTTGTCTACCTTTAGGGGCAGTCTTAAACATGTTAAAACTGAATAAATCATAAAAATGGATCCCGAAAAGCTGGTTATGGACATATTCAAGAATCGAGAATGCTCGTTTTATTTTTCCTCAAAAGCTCACTGCATGTTCCGAATTTCAAAGATGTCAAAGCGAAATTGGGCGGGATTATGCATGTTTTGTTCTCCAATAAATACAGAATTAGGGTTAGTTGGGGCCGTAATAGCAAACAACTGAAACCTGCATTGATAACCTTTTTCTGCAAAAAGGCTACATGCTCCCAGTCCTGTGAGCGGTTATATGATTTTTGTTGTAGAAATTAGTTCGAAGTTTAATTGCATAAAACAGAGGTTTTAAAATTTATAAAAATTGGTGAAGACTAGTAGATAAAGAGAAAAAAACCCGAAAACCCACTTACAAAAGTTTTCTCATTTTAGCACACCTTTATTGTTTGAAAAACTGTCACAAATCAATCACTTTAAATTTCCTGTATTTCTCGAACATTTCCTTTCACCACTTGCATCATCCGCATTGATCTTTAGAAATCAGGTGAAAACATTCCAGTTTTATCAACAGAAATGGCCCGGAAAATCCAGAAAAAAGGTACGGTTTGAAACAGAACCAAAGTAGACTCTACCAGTTTTCAAAATAATCCAGGAAAATGGACTGGAGTATGCAGCATGGGGCACTTGCAGTCTCCAATACCGTTGTTCAAGCGGCTGTCGTACCACATCGAGCTGCCAGCGCTGAAATTCCGCAATTTTCATGAACTTCAAAACGTAAAAGTCGAAAATACTGGCTTTACAAGTAAGAGATAAAATGTGACTGAAAACTGATCGAACGGGACGATATTTCAGTACGCTGCACTTTTCCCAATACCTGCCATTGCGACCGTCCGAAAATATGTGGAGGAGGTCTGGTGAGGAATTACACCTTAAACCATATCCATTTCCATTGGCCAGGAGAACACTTTCTCGATGGAATCCGGTATATTTCAGTTGTTTTACGAAGATTACAGTAGAATAGTTTGCGTTTGCAGCTATGACTTGGAGATGCACTGCGTTTTCTATGCAGACCGCTATGGGACATTCGAAAATGCCCTGGAGCATCCGTATGGGATTACAGTTATGGCCATTTTACTCCTAGTAAGTCTATTTAAGCATAAGGTACAATTAAAATGCACCTTCAATTTACGGGGTGTCGGAATAAAGGTACAGAGCGGTTCTATCTATTTAAATAAAGTTGACTTTAGGCCAAATATAAAACGAGAAGGCAAAATCCATAAAGCTGAAGACTGCACCTGAGAACAATAAAATAGAGATGCAAGAGAAAAAAATGAGCAATAGATAATAGAGAAAACCAAACGAAGCTAACAAATCTTCGACTGCAACATTTTCAAGTTTTTTCAACATTTTCTTTACAGTATCGACCATCGTTACTGTTCGTATAATGGACCAATGTAATTCAGAATTCTTCACAGGTGCCACCACTCCATAATAAAAAAAAACCGGTTTGTCCGTGACTCGACAGAGGAAATTAATGTTTTAAAGGAGAACATCAGGATTTGAAGAATTTTCAGATATTTACTGATCAATGCATGTTTTGCTTAAGAACTTTGAAAACCTTGTTGTCCGAAAACCATTCGCTCCTGAGATGCAAATTTTTCCATTTTTCTTGATTTTCAAAATTTGTATTACTTCTTCCTCTTGGAAGGTGGTTGGATTTCATACAGATTGATTTCTTGAATGGAATGGATGGAATTTGGTACTTTTTTATACAGGGTGATTCAAAATTGGCGTCATTCCTTTTAAGGGTATATAGCGCGCTACTAAGAGAGTACGAAAAAAATATAAAAATTTTTTTTTCGAAAATTTCAATAAGATATTAACAGTTGAAAAATTGAATTTCAATTCTACAATTTTTTGATCAAGTCAGAGCGGCAATTATGTTTTTTGTCATTAACAGATAGTTACAGGTAGACAGCCTTTGTCAATAATAACAAGTATTTCTCAGACTTTGGCTTACTTTGAATCTCCTAAAGGTCTAAGGTGCTCGGTTTCCAGACCTAGAGGTTCCAATACCTGCTTTTGGAGATTATTGCAGCTGAGCCCTCCAGGAGGACTTGAAGCATTTTGTTAGAACTGCACTTTCTCAAACACCGGATACTTAATTGTCTCGATAACTTCCCCGAGGAAGGGCCTACATTCCTACCATGTATGTAATATGCGCAAGACACTAGAACACATTAAATATCTGATGTTCCGAACACCGGTTCAAATTGAGCAGCAGTTAATTAGCCGAACACGAGAAGCTGCTCAAAATATGAGCACAGACTCAAAGTGATTGGGACACAAAGATGTTTGGAGTGAAACGGGCAGGACTTCTTGCTCTTGGGAACACTTGTGTTTTAACAATAGAATTGTATTTTATTGGATCAATAATATTGATCAATGATACATAACCTTTAACAGGAGGTTTTGGATGGCAGTTGTGACCTATTTAGGTATATAACTCATTTGCCCCAAAAAGATGGCAGCACTCGGGGCTGTTTTGTCGCGGTACTGACCGCAAGGTGACACTTTTATCCTAACCTCAACGCATGTTATTGTGTCTTTTATTTTCTTTGCTTTATGTTTATCCATAGTTTCCGGAGTTTTTAATAATTACAAGGAAACAGGTATTTACGAAATATTAATTAGGCAGCTTACCTTGAAAAACATTGTTGCCATCCTTCTGATCTAGTTTTTTGCAAATATCTGAGTTTTTAATAACACTTTTTTTTTCTAATTTTTCTGTACTCCCAAGACACCCCCAGACAACACCTCCAGAGGAATGACGCCAATTTTGAATCGCCCTGTATTTTTTTGCTTGAATAAGGGAACCAACATATTGTTACGTTTTCCGGGGTTCGAATGATTCGAGTAAAAAAATAAAAAAAGCACAACAATTTATTGAACTCCCAAATACTAACTATAAAAATCACTAACTCAAAACTATAGCTCGCGAATCGAACACACTCTGAATATCGCTTTAAATATTTCACTGTATAGCTGTCTGATTAACTAACTCACTCCGGTCGCCTTGCCGTATTTATATTAGCGCGCAAGGGCTCTCGACGACCTGCGAAGATTCTCCATTTTTCGGAATTTCCATAGCCCAATCGACTATTGCCGTTCGTTCTCGAAGTATCGAGCTAGGCGTCCCGAAAACGCTGGAAGCTGCGTTGCCGCTGTGCGCTAAAAATCAAGCCGCAACACTGCCCTCCTTTTAAAACTGTTCGTCCCGAACAGATGGTTGCCTCTTGGTTGGGAAGGGCGTAAGCTTCAGGCCATTTAGTAAAGTAATCCATTGCAACTAAAATGTATTTGTTTCCGGCCTCGGTCTGTGGAAACGGCCCTGCTACATCAATCGCGATCCTCTCAAATTGAGCACCTACGGTGCACTGAACCATTGGACCTCTTGATCTCGTGCGAGGACTTTTGGTGGCACAACATGCTTCGCACTTACTACTCTCTACTCTACGTCTTCGCGATAATTTATTGATTCCAAAATGTCCTCCACTTTTTCCATTGTGCATTTCTTTAAGAGCCTCTGATCTCTTGTTCTTAGGAACAAGTCCTTAGGAACAACAAATTGGCTTACGACAGATCTGCCATCGGCACTTTCCCAGGCTCTCTTTAATAAGCCATTCTCCAGTATTAAAGAGTCCCACTGAGCCCACAATGCCTTCAGGAGTGGATTCTTATAAGAGATTATGTCTGTCTCTGGCCTTTTTACCTCAGTTTTCGCTTTGAGAATGGGTCCAATTATTGGGTCCTCCATTTGTTCTCGTTTAAGCTCCTCTGTAGTCCACCCTTCATTAAGCTCTACTTTGGTTCTTCGTATTGAGGTGACTCTCGCCTGTTCTACTCTTTGACAATGCCTACAGTCCTCTTTGCACGGTCTTCTGGATAGTGCGTCGGCATTTCCGTGCAGTCTTCCTGAGCGGTGTTCAATTTTGATGATCCTGGGGGTCTTCATGGTCCCGGCCAATTGCCCCCGGACATTGACCGGAACTAGTTTTCCTGCGGCCTTCTGATGTTAGTGTCACCGCTGGGCTTCCTGGGCGACGGTGACGGACTTCGTGCTCTATTGCGGCACTCACTCCTGATATGTCCCAATTTATCGCAATTGAAGCACCTTATGCTCCTTCTTTGTGGGGCTTCCTGAGTTGGCAGGCGAGTACTATTACAACTGGCCGTCATCTTCTGTAAAGCGTCGTATATGTTGTCCAGTTTGTCAGCTCGTATATCCCGTTCGTTGTCGATCGAAGCCAGCCTTACTCTTGGTGCTGAAGGGACCGATACTCGAGAC